AATGTAAAGTTATTTCTGTATAGTTTAGGTTACTATAAGCAATTTTCACTTATTGTTTATTTATTTATTTTTAATTTTACAGATGATACAACACCTTCGATTGACGGAATAAGCATAATCAGTACTGGTGTAACCAAAGAGACCTAGGCTCCCTCCTTCGTAATGAAATTAATAAAAACACTAAATATAGGAAAAATAGAGCCTCCGAAGCCCTTCTATAACTTCTATGCTCACGTGTTATCAATTTCCCTCACCCTTTATCACTTGGATCTAGCTCTACCTCTATAGAGGCATCCCTAATTGACTCTCACAAATATGAGAGCTCTATCCCTCACCGAAAGCTTAAATAAATAAAAAACAAATTTTGGGGCCTTTCGGTGACTGGAGTTCGAGCCAAATGGCCTTACGGGACACCTATCCAGGCCCACCTGTAGTTTAAATAGTAATTTAATTACGATTAAATAAATCAATTACAGTCAGACCTCTGAACAACGGCCACTAACAGGAACATAAAAGATGCCGTTGTTTGGAGGTTGCTTTGATTTTTATTTGTAAAAGTTACTGGAAAAAAAATGGCCACTGCTTATTGGAGATTCGACTGTAATAATATACATAAATGCATGCATATACGTATATTTATGTATATAAGTTTAGAAAAATATATTTAAAAATTCGACAATACATATGCTAACGATTGCTAGTGGCCTATAATCTTGAACTATGGCTTCAAACTGCGATACAGTAAGCTTAAATCCTAATGTTTTAATCATGATACTATGGACCAACCGGGAATCGATACTCCTAAGTTTCCAAAGTTATCGCGAGTAAAGACCATTGGAGAATCGATTGCCATCATTCCTCGTGGTTTAACTTCGACATGATGTTTATTTTTCCTAGAAAGAAGAAAAATATAAGTGGAGATAAAATATAAAAAACGGCAAATATAATGAGATAAATCCTGTAGGAAATCAATATAACAACTGACATAGAATAACGGATGTATGCGAGGCCTCGGCAAAAAGTTATTAGTGGGGCCCTAAAATATTTGCAAAAGGGGATTTTCTTTATTTCTTTTTGTAATCAAATCTTAGAAATTTGAAAGTGTGGGGCTCTCTGAATTAATCTGAGGCCCTATAAACCAACATTTGAGCCGGGTCTGTTACTAGATAATATACCGTATAATATAAGGTGGCATTAACTAAATGGCCATGTTGACCCGTATATAACAAGGCCCGTTACTAGTTAATATAGTTCTATATTTGGATAAGTAGTGCCTTGTAATAGGGATCGTTACTATTGATGCGCCCTGTGATAGGGCCTGCTGATATAAAGCGAAAAACCGTCTTCAAATTGATGTTACATAATTCCAATTTTTCCTGTATTTTTAGAATATATTTTACTTCTTTTTTTACAAGTTAGTAAAGATGTTATCACAGCAGAAAGTTTTTAAAATAAAATGTTTAGTAAGCAGTCTTATCAGAATAATTTACATAAAGGGTGATAGTGATCTAACACGTACAAATTTATCGACTGATACCCTATTTTAAACCCGATTTTCTGTTTAAAAAAAAGGCATATTTTTGTATAGTCTATTGATTGAAATTTCATTCTGCTGAATTCCAATTTTATTTTTTTATTTGGACTATAAAGAAAATTAGAGAAAGTGCTTTCGTAATGTATTTTGTATATATATTCATATGACTCTTTCGTGCGTACCAAATCATTATATTGTGTATGTGAAAAATAAATTGTTTTGAAGTTATTTTTAGATTAAATTGTTTGTCACATTACACAAAAGTAGGTTACAAGTTTGCTTTGTTATATATAAATAAGCTCAATTTACAGTGTAATACGAGAGTGAAATACGAGAAAAATTACAGTAAAAAACTTTATAATTTAACAGATGTTAGGTTTGGAAAGTTTGCTTTTGTATCTGTCACAATTTTCTAGTTAAAATTTCGATTATTTTTCGTGTTTTTTTTTAATTATTATTTGAAAATTCAAATTAACCAATCAAGAGAAGCATAAATTTAAAATATTAAATACATCCAATGATACGGCGAGGATTGAAAATTTAAATACCCAATAGTATTAAAGAGATTTAAATTTTCAAAATAAAACAACCAATAAGATAATAAAGATTTCAAAAAGAGATAAACTCTCGTCTACGGAAAAAAATATTGTGATTAGTTTAGTAATAAATTTTCACGATAGAGGGCGTGAAGAGCATAAAAATTTTAATTTCAATTTTGAAATTTTGAAATTTTTCAAATTTTCTAAAACGACGGTAAATAAATATAAATATAAATAAATAATTACCCATAATCTATATATATATATATATATATATGTATACTGTAAATATAATCTTAAATAAAGTTAACTACGTAAGAAATTTTTTAAAAATTTATATTTTTATGCGTAATTAACTTAATACTGTAATTAAATTTAATCAAAAATCATTTAAACCACAGATGGCAGCACTAAAACTAGATAATTAACATAAACGAACCTAATATGACTAAATGATAATTTAATATTGTATAGAAATGGAGATATATATATATATATAGTTTTTTTTTTTTAGTTGTGTGAATGATGTTTGCTCATGTTTGTTTCATGAAACATTGCAGGTATCCCCAACATATCATTCAAATCCCACATGCAGAAGATAGAAGAGAGGATGACGTCGAGATAAAACATCGAATATAGAGAATTCGAATTTGGGATTTTATGATTTGTGAATAAAGTTATAGAGTATTTTTTCGGTTTTGATATCTCATATTTCTCCCTCAGATATATACGATTTCCTATTCAGTTGTTTAACATTTTTCTATACCGGGAGAAATAACTCAAATGTCCTTTATTTTTTTCATTCATAACTGGCTCATTTTAATGTCTTTCAAACATTTAATAACAAACAAATGTTTTTGTTATATCCACCGATATTTACATTAAAATCGAAAACAATAACTCCATTCAGATTTTTAAAGTAGTCAATAAAATAAAAAAAAAAAAAAGTTCGGACGGAATAACCAATAACGCGAAAGGAAATTCGAAATTTCAAAACAACCAATATCACGAAGAAATTCAAATTTTTGAAATAGCCAATAAAATGCGGACGATTTAAATTTTCAAATATTTGAATTTCTGCTAGAAATATTATATAAAAACACAAAGAGTACGATAGTATAAAAGTTCGGAAACAAAATATTTTTATATAAACACGATATATTTTAAATAATTCTATAATAAAAATAGAAACACCAGCTAATAAATTAATAATACATAATCGAGACTATGTGTTCTACGCTTATATGACACATAGCAATCACGTGATTCTATGCTTTAATTATAGCAAGCCACGTGGTCCGTCCTTGAATTATAAGAAGTCATAGAATTTATTTTCCGCTAGGATGAAAAATTATGTGACTCTTTCTTTTCTTTTTTTTTCATAGTAAATAGCGGTATTCTTGCTATAAAAGCGAATCCTGTATCGATAGAAAAATGGGGGAAATATAAAATAAACTCTAGTCACTTGATTGCTAAATTTCCTTCTCTGAATAAACAGTACTTTAGTGTACTTATCCCGACACAAAACACAAACGATGCACTATGTAATTTCCTACAACAGACCTCAATGCATTATAATCTCCGACGACAACGATCATTTAGATTTTTATTCACTAAAATTTATCCTATTTAATGGAAGATCTGTATAAAGAAAACGTTTATGGATTTTTTTTTTCATTTTCCAAATCACGAAATTACTATAATTAAGAATAAAAAAAAAACGGAGTTATTGGGCATACGCCATATTTAATTTAATAATAAAAATAACCGCCTTGTTAAAATGTTTAGCGTTATAAAAAAAAAATTATTGACGTCATAAATCCATTTTACATGTCGATATTTATTTTTCATCGGCAACTTATTCACGTCCTACATTTCTCGATTTTATTTACTTTACATTCAGTAATAATAATAATATTATCGTCATCGATTTAATACATTCGAAATTTTCATTGGACGAGAGTGGGAGATGCTTGAAATTCGACCAATCGTCTTTAAGTACGTAAGCGGGAGGAAAGGTCGTTCAACTCGTACGACTCGTCAGTTAAGATCAGGTGATTGTCATTTACTATGTTTATCACGTGATTCGAATGATTATTAGTTACAGAACGTGATTAGGATAGTGAAATGTATTTAAATTGTGCTGACTGTTTATACACGCGTTTTTTTCGACTGTTAAAGACTTAAAAAAAAAAAAAAAGAATTTCCCCCCTTTCTGTGTAACAACTTACACATTTAAATTGGTTTAAGGTCAGTTCAAGTTAACCAACCCTTTCATTATATAAACATTAGTCACGTGATCGGTGGCGTCACGACACGACCCTGTTGACGTAATATTAAGGTTGCAAATAAATAAATAAATAATAATAATAATAAAAATTGCTTAATTTCAAGCGTTTTTGCACGCCGTTTCGGATTATTAATAAAGTTTATGCAAGCAAATTTAATAATTCGATTATATTTTAAAATAATTTTTTAACGCGTATAATTAATTATTGTTTTAAATTTTATTTTCGTTTACGTAATTACTTTAACACGAGCTTCGTGTACTTTTTTTTTTTTTTGGTTCAATTTAATTTCGTTGGTCGCCGAAAGATGGCGGGTCTAAACTTTGTTTTCGCAATCCTTGCAACACGCAATCTGAGTATTTTTGCGATTGGAGCGATAAAGAAAATACTGTTTCATGAAACATAAACTACCTTAAATATCCGTTACTCGTAATTGGAAACGTTTAAATAAAAATTATAATTTTAAATGTTTTTTTTTTTTTATCGACAAAAAAAATAAAATTATAAACACGTCAGTAATTTACGTATTGATAATTCTATTTTAAATTTAACGCGAATAGACGAATTATTTTTAGTTAAAAGGGCGAAAATTACGATTTAAATTATAATATTTTAGAAAAAAAAAATTTATTTACAGACCAAGCGATAATTCCGATACAAAGCGCCCTCTGAGCGCAAAAGTTTCGTTTCGTCAAACACTGTTCCGAATCAATTACTCGCGAACTATTTATTACGAAAGATTAAAATATACTTAAACACACAGAAATACTAAAGAATATCGGATAAGAATTTTTATCATGTAGCAATTTTCGAATGTAAAATTATTATTTAGGAATGGTTTTTCCTCATGACTCAACTCGCAGAAACGAAAAATGCCTGGGACGGATAACACCCCTGTGAAATGGGAACGCTCCGCACGTTTGGCTAATTGCCGTCAAATAGTGCGCGCTGGGTTTCTCGTATTGACGGCTTAATGTGGAAATGAGAAAAGATAACGTGAAACAAAACGTAATTAACGTCGAACGGCGAGTGTTTTAAATGGCGTTTAAGTATATTCGAAGATGCGGTTGCGGCGCGTGTTAGCGCGCGGATTGATTGTGGGGGTTTTTTTTTTCACTCTTCCAGATGTTCCCGCTTTCGAAGTGAACAGAATAATAGTGTCTGGTTGATAAGACCTCGTTCACCATCCCTCTAGTTGTCTCAAAACACGTGCTTGGTATCAACTCGTCAACAAGGATCGCCTAACTATGTGACGTTTAAAGTCGATTGTTTGGCATGACCAGGATATTGTGTGCTTGGGTGTTGGCTTAAGATGGCAGCTCCGAACGAAACGTTGGTAATGGAACAAAAAACGGCCGAAGTGAGTAACAGCCCGAAAAACGAAGAAGCTAGCGACGACATCGGTAATAACATCGTCAACAATTTGAAATCGCCCGGGAGCAACCATCCTAGCAAACACGAAACGTATCAAGATGGTGGAAGATCGTCGAAAACGTTGAGCAACGCGAACAGCGGAGGGGATCTGGAAAGGCAGAGAATGAATGCGGATTATCGTCACTACAACCAGAATTTCATAACGGCCGACGATTACAGGAACTCGCAGGAGAACCACACGAGTAATTATTGCGGTAACTTCGTCGATCGGAGTAACTATCTGGCCGACCAACATGGCGGCCAAGCCGATCAACAACAGGCACAGAATCAGAAAATGTATTCGCAATACGCTATTAGACAGGGTTATCAGTCGCGTACGGTTAATTTAAACGCTTCCCACCGGCCGGCGGTGGCCGCAAATGTCATGAGCAACTATCCCACTGGCGGTGCCACCCCGCAGCAGCAGCGATTCCTCACAGGACAAAGCATCAGCCAGCAAGGTGGACCCACACCGACACTCAATCAGTTATTGCAGTCGCCCAATCCTTTGCATCGTTATCAGAACCACTATGGTGATTACAATGCCAATAAAGGAATAAGTGGCAGTGATGTAAACAGTGCCATGGCTTTTACTAACGCTGGCAGCCAACACGGATGGGGTACCGTCAGGAATCCCAGTTCCTATCCTCAACAGATGTATAGGAGTCAGGTGAGTTTCTACTCTTTATTTCCCTTTTATACACCTTTATTCTCTACGCACGCCAAACTCCCGCGGAATTTAAACCACGCCGCTTGTAATACGGCTCGTTGCGCCACATGCCGGTGCCATTTTGTTTAAAAAAAAAAGAAAAGAAAAAAAGAAAAAAAAAATGCGGTTTACAATCGAAGAGAAAACGGAAGATTTAAAAATCGGAAATAATTACTTCCGCCGCAGGTATAAAAATCGGTTCTAAGCATCCGGTTACGGGTACGAAATTAGATATTTGTTCGAGCGCCCTCATATTATTTGACCCACGTGTCCGACTGAGCATCTGTGTGGCCTGCAGCAAGGAAATTTAAATTTTGGAGGCAAAAAGTGAGGCACAGCTGACAGCTGGGAATAGCCGAATCTGATTGGTTGGAAACGTCTTTCAGATCCGGAATTAATCACGTCTGGCAGGAGGGTAGCTCTATCTCTCTCTTCGTGCCAACAACTTTGATCTGCGGAGAGTTGGGAACCGACCATTTTCTCTCGTTCCGCTTAAAACGGGGGTGCAAGGCTCGTTTGGGAGGGGCGCTAACAATTTTGCTCTTTCTACGTATTTTTCGATCGCGCGGCTCAAACCTTATTTTTGTTTTTTTTCCCTCGTACGTTTTTGTTTTTTTTTTCTTCCTGCCACCATCTTAAATCCTCTAGGTTTAAAAAGCCGGGCGACGAGACGTAACGTTGATTTTTCTAGACGAGAATGACGTAGAAGTAGATGGCCGGTAAAAAATATTACCGGATCAATATTAAGCGATATATATATATATATATATATTTTTTTTTTGTTTTTTTTTCTTTTCTTTCTTTCGTTCTATCTTTCTCGCAGTTTGACGTCACGTTTATTGAAGGTAGAGAGAACGAGACGAATGTATTTTATAATATAAAAGCGTGCGAAGGCGTTCGTGTGACGCAGTTTTAGTCGGACAAGTAAAGTCGACTTATAAACTGGTCGAGCCGGTCTGAGATCGTCGAGTCTTCTTCCTTCGCATGGTGTTTGGTCGGGTGACTACGCTGTTTAGCCGTGCATGCACAGTTTATTCGCCGCTGGCCCCGTTTTTGGTCGGTTGCTCGCTACCAGACCGTATACGACTTTGCTTACAACGAGTTTTCGCGACGTTTTAGGGAAAAAATATATTCGACGAATGGCCTGGGGAGGGATTGTTTTTTCTGTTTTTTTTTCGAGTGTATGTGTGTATATTTCTCTTCTCTTCTTCCTCCGCCTCTTTTCCCCTATCGGGTTATTCGGCCATGTTTGCTCGCTTATCCATGTTCGGTTCGACTGGCGCGCAACTGTTGTGTTGCCCTGTTTGTGTGTGCATCGAGCGATCGCTCGATGTGTTCTCCTTCGCGTCAAAATACCCGTTTTTTAGTCTTGTATCGGCCGAATAACATTCTGTGCAGCTGTTCAATTGAATTTTATCAACCGCGAGTGAATTTGTCGCCTCCTGTATTGATTTTCGAACGCCAGCTACACATGCTTACGTAATGGACATGTTTTTTTTCTACGTCCTGCCCGCTAGTTTTTTCGTTTTTTTTTGTATTAAATATATATCTACGGGAATAAATTGCAGAAAGTCAATACTCATCAAAAAAATCTACCGTCAATATTGACCACTGTGGGTTACTCAGTAATCACTTGTTTTATTATTATCATTTTTTTTTTTTTTAAATATTTAGTTCGATCGTCCCACATCCGCCCGCGTGTTTTAATACTGAGAGCGCCATTTTTCTTTTTCTTTTCTTGTTTAAAATAATTGATACGACAAAAATTGATTGTGCGGAATCGCCTAGGCGAAATGGCGGGATTGAAAGAAACGCTGGCTGCCATGCCGCGTTATTTTTTTTTTCGCCTCCCCTAAAGCGAAATGGTTTAAACTAGTAGTAAAGGGCATGCCGTAAACAGGAAGTTGATTTCTGCATGACGTCATCGACACGTGGGACACCTGTTGCTGCAGAAGGGCGGCGATCGGTCAGATGTTATTAATTGCAGACGGCCGATCGCTCTCCTAATGTTGATATGTCGTGACGTCAGTCGGGGCAATAGGCCAACGTAATCTCCGCTTGCCGTCTTTCCCTATGTTAATTAACTCGTGATCGGGTGCCGGCCGTCTTTCATTCACAACACGTGCTGGGGGTGTAAGGGGGATTGCATTCATTCATTCATGCGAATCAAACAGACAAACACGGGTGTGGGGTTGCGAGTTGATCTACTTTTTTTTTCTTTCTTTCTGTCTCTCTTTGTTGCTCTTAACCTTGATCGTGCCCTTTTCGATCCCCCCTCTTAAAAGCGTTGTCAACATAAGCAGGCCACGTGCTCAGGAGTATTACATCTGGCACGATGCACCTTACCGAATACCGATGCACAATTTTTCCCTTTTTTTTTTTTTTTTTTCTTTTTCTTTTTTGTTAATCGTTATCAGCTGAAAGTTGACTTTTAAATGGGAATGGGAACCATGTTTTAGTTTATTAAACGTAACACTGTTTAAATTATTATCTCTCTATAGATTTTTGTTACGTAAAATGCAATTTGCAATTGTTAAATTTGTTTAAAATCCTATTTATTATAGATTGTTGCCGTAGTTTATATTGTCACGCAGTTATTTAACAGTGGCTCTTACCCCGCAAACTATACATTTCGAAATGAATATATACAGTTTGCATCCCCGATTTAGTTATTATTATTTTCTTACGAAAACATACAGATTTACAATTTATTAAAATTATGTGACGTGGCGTATCTTGCGGGAGCTTTAACCTATTTTGCAATGCTGTTCCTCATATAAAGAACTTCATTGTTTAATATGTTATACAGATACAGTTTCGTGTTTTTACTGGATTTGCATTTGAATTATAATTCTTGTCCTGTATACTTAATTTATAAATTTTTTTTTGTTCTTGGCAAATGACTTTTGTGTGTCATATAGTATCGCATTACGCAAAAACTAATCCTTTGTCGAAGTTTAGATATTGAATTAGCCAATTGGTTACCAATTTAAAAAAATATAAAAGTAGTTTTTTTTCCATTTGATCAGTTTTGTTTTAAGAAAGAAAATACTTAATATTAAAAAATGATATACTGTATTGTTTTCAAGTTGTAATATTAATGGATATTAAAAAATTAAAATACCATTCAAGCAGTTTCTGAAGAAAAAATATAAGTAGATAAATTTTTAATGGCTTGATAAAAATGCTAAAGAAGTAAATACTCGTGTCTTTTATTGATGGTATCTTAAAAAGAAATTTGTTGAAATATTTTTGAATATATAGTTATAAAAATTGAATTTTAAACTAAAATATCCATTGTTTTGTTAAATATAATAATGGATAACATCTATAAATATTTTATACGTAAAAGAACATAATAAAAATTAAATGAACAAGTTTTTGTTCTGACCTCTGAACTTAACGCCAGTTCAAATTAATATATAAAGATTTTGTTACACACTGTACAGTTATAACATAGTTAAATCATGTAGGAAACTATATCAAAACTGGTAAAGATTTGTTAATATTTTTTGACGTAGTAAAA